AAGCTCATTGATTCACGCATGACAGCTGCAGTCGGCCGAGTAGTGATGCCCAAAATCTCCTTCATGAGCACATGATGCTTCTTGCAAAAAGCATCCAAAGACAAGAGGGCATCTCCAGCTCCCACAGCTTGGAGATTTCCTCTGAAACTCTTCATGAGATCTTTCCCGGTGGCACCATTGGACCTCCGACTCGACATTGCCATGCTGCTTACAAAAAACAGACTTCAAACACTCGAGCAAAAAAATCGCAGATCCTGCAATATATCATGCCAATATTCCTTCGATCTTGCAACTGCACTGCCTGCAGCATGCATGCATGCCGAATGTCGCCGCGATCCAGATCATGCATGCAGGAGAGACATGCATATGCCCTCCTGAAAAAAACAAATTTAATATAAAGATATATACATCGATATATATAGAGAGATAATAAGCGGTTTTATGGAAAACTGTCAGCCTTAATTAAAGCTGATTATATCAGCTCTAAATAAAGCTTTAACGCTTATCCTATAATTCTTAAAGAGGCGTCACCTTATTTAAAGCTTATTGGAGCTTCAGGGTCTTCCGCAGCTCGGAGCCAAGGAGGCTTCCTTGGCAGAGTTTAGCAGCTTCTCTGTTCTTGAAAACCATTGAAAACACGCTTTTCGAGGCTGCAAAAGCATGTTTTCAATGGTTTTGCAGAAACGAACACCAGAAAGCCTGGGAGACACATTGCCGCCACTGCGAAGATTCTTTTCGGTCGTCTAGCCGCGCGACTGTTCCGGAAAAGCATTGAAAATGTGCTTCTGCAGCCTCCAAAAGCACGTTCTCAATGGTTTCGGACAACAGAACACCAACAGAACCCTAGGAAACGGATTGCAAGCGATGCGAATACACATAAAACACAAGCAGTGTTTTAACAATCCGCCACCAACAAGCATACTTTTCGGTGCATGCGCCATGCAGCAAAACAGCGACCCTGCCGACGTTTTGAAGTCAATCACTTGCCTTAACACACTTAACTAGACACGCAAAGCACCAATGCGGACAAGCCAAATCCTCTGGCACTGCCAGCACTTTCACGACTTCGCGACCATGGAAACACGTTTTCGACCACATACGCCGAGAGCCGCAAACCACGGGCTTGCCGGCGTTTCGTGTACTTTTCAAGCTTCCAAACACTGAACCCCCGACGCGCCCTCAAGTGCGAATTCCTCGGCCCTGCCGACACTTTACGCACATTCGCGCATGCAAGTGACGAGGCAGCTCTTTTCACAAGTGACGGGGGAAGTCTTTTCACAAGTGACCGCTCTGCCTCCTAAACCATGCCCCATATCCGGTCCGTATATGTATATATATATATATATATATATATGTGTATATATATATATATACATCTATATATAGGTATATATTTATATACATGTGTATATATATATATATATGAAGGAAGCCAAACGCCTCCCAAAGGAGGCTGAAGGCCCGGAGGCCACAGCCTCCTAGGGACGAAGCCCTAGCACCACGACCAAAGCAAGAGAAGGCCCAGTCACACAAAACAAAGCAGCACAGCACGTACCGAGGCCCCGGCCGAGTAGGATCACCACAAGTACCTGGCACGAGGCAGGTTGAATGCATCATATGATATCATGCACAGAAGCTCGGTCACAAAGGAGACCATACAGGCACTCCTATTTTTTCCATGGATCTGCACAGGAAGACGGGCAGTGTTCCAATGACCCGTTTCTGGACACGACTGCAAGGCGACGAGCACGCTTTGAGGCCCAATATCCAAGAAAACCTCTCGCTGAGGCACGCCTCTCCTTCAGACGTCTTCCATGCCAGGAAGGCTACGGTCCAACTGAGCTTGGCCGTCTCTCCGAGACCAGCCGGGAAGGCCTGATGGCCCTGCAAGACTCATTCACCTGACGCATCAGGAGCTCCAGAAGACGCACGAGTCCTGCTCAGAAGGATCTACTTTGAGCTCTAAGCCGCCCCCTGCCCAAGTACTCGCCTTGACTTTCCTGCAAACTGTACGCAGCAGCCCTGAAACCGGCCTTGCCGAGAATCCGCTTGCCCAAGCTCGGAGGAGATCGGCATCCACGTCTACCGTTCCATCCGCAGCTTTCGAAACCAGGAGGAAGGATCAGGAAACTTCAAGTCCTCCTGCAACTCCTTGTTAGCCTCCGCCTCTGCAACTCTCTTGACGGATGCACGATGGACACCTGGAAAAGCGGTAAGTCCTCTTACCAGTCGCGCACACTCCTTCATGATCAATGAGACCTCGGAGATCTTCCCGATTCCATCCAGTCTTAGCGCGGAGAGTATCTCTTGAGCAGCGGCAACCTTGCCCACCACTCCGAAGCCAGGAATTGGCGGCTCCGCAAAGTCCTTGCCATCTCGGGGCAGGCACCGGAGATTTTGGTGTGGCACGACTGAGTCTCTCACACCTTTGGCCGGAGACTCCACGCGGCTTTGATTCCAGCGCAGGCAAGGCCGACGAGCCTCGCTTCCTTCCGCTGAAGATTTAGAGCTCGTTCCTTGGGCTCTTTGTCGCCTCGGACATAGCCTCGGATCAGAAGCTGGTCCGCTGGGTGGCGGAGATCTTGATGGACGGAGACTCGTTCTGAAGGAGGAACCCCAAGGGAAGGGACGAGCTCCTTGCGGCCCGGACCAAGGACTTGGTCGGGATGACAGGCCAACTCAAGGGATTTGATCTGGATCAGTATCTCGCAGAAGGTATGGAAGGTGACGGTCCAGTCTTCTGGGGAGTTAGGGGAGGACGCGGTTCCGGATCCGAGCGACGAAAAACCACCGGTGGCAGCCGTCGCTGTGCTGGTAGGTTCGTCATCGGTCCGCGTCATGATCGTTCTCGTCTATGCCCCTTGGAAGGACCAGGAGAAGGCTTTAACGGAGATCGATCAGGGAGGTCTTCCTCTCAGGTCTCCCCGGCTTTCTCCTGTCGAGCGCGAGCCCTTTTGATTTGAGGACGATGATGGAGTCGCCGCTCACTTCGACGGTGGAACTGCACGCCTCGCCGAGCCGAAGAAGGTGAAGAAGATCAGGGTCGATGTCCTCACCTCTTGCGCGAAGGTGCTAAGGGAAAGATGGCCTGGAGGGATTGTTGCGGCAGCGTTGAGATGGCCGCTTGTAGTCGAGGTGACTCTGCAGGCTCGACGTCAAGCTGCTGAGGAAGGACGCGGACCCTTGTTGGTTGCGGTTTCTCAGCTCGGCCGCCAATGTTCGGTCACCCCTACGGGCGTGAGCCGCTGCTGCGCTACCTGCTCAGCGGCTTGCCGTGGTGCTGGCTACCGCCTTTGAATCCAGTGAATGGCTGGGTTGCGAGATAGGCCAAATGGTCTTACGACACTCACGACCACCCAGTGTCGTCGAGGTGCTCTTGGATGTGCTCAGACCAGTCGTCCCGCTTCTAGTTGCGTAGAGCCGGTGGTATGATGTTTTCGTTCATCATGTGTGGGCCTCGGGACACAGCTCTGACGCGATCTAGGGTTGGAGACTTCTTGCCTCCGGTGCTGTGCCTGCTGAAAATCTGCGCCAGCCATGCGGTGCTTCAGCTAAGCACGCAACACCTTGTTATACAGCATCATAATGATGCATCCAGAGCCCTTCACTTTTGGCCAGATGCGATCTCTGAGATTCGCAGCTTGGTTCGACAAAAGAGGTCTTTGACCGTTTTAGCGACCGCTGGCTTCGCTCAGCCAGCCAGCAAAAGAAGCTGTAAAGCTTGAGCTTTGCTCGTTTCCGTGGAGGCGGGGCGGTGGTGGCCCTGCAAATTTCTTGAGTACAAAGATGACGGCCACATCCGTTTCAGGACCTTTGCATCAAACCCCAGCAAGCAGATACTATGATGCATCCAGAGCCCTTCACTTTTGGCCAGATGCGATCTCTGAGATTCGCAGCTTGGTTCGACAAAAGAGGTCTTTGACTGCTTTAGCGACCGCTGGCTTCGTTCAGCCAGCCAGCAAAAGAAGCTGTAAAGCTTGTGCTTTGCTCGTTTCCTCCCCTAACCGCAAAGCGCTCAGAAGAGTTGCTTCACAACAAGGTTTGCAATCTCTTTCACGAACTTGTAGGGGTAGGGCTGCGCAAGCAAGGTCATGAAGCGGCCGTCAGCGGCAAGGCCGTGTAAACGAACGTGTGGTTTTGCCAGTAGCGCTGCAAGCGGAAGCTGTGCCCTTACACGTGCGGCCTAAGCTCTGAAGCTGGATCCCATGACACATGAGGGTGGTGCTCTTTCGCCACCGAGTGTCATACTGGCAAAAATCAAGATTCACGAGGCTTATGTCCCCACCTGCAGAGATCTGCTTGAGGAGAGGGGTTCTCCAACACCTGGACGATGCAGGATTCTCAAGTCTCAAGCACATACGGAATGCCGAACTGTTCACAGATACAAAGAACTCTGCAACTGAAGTAGAGCAGGCGGTTCCCGTATTGCAATTTTCGACGATCATGTGCTCTGAGCCCCTTGAGGCCCATGGGGCAAGCGTCACTTCGCAAAGGAGGCGGGCCAACACCATCATTTTTCCTTGCGATACTGAAACTCTCACATGGCATACCTATCCATACAAATACAAAATGCCCGTTTCGCAGCAAATGCAGGATCTGCTCTTCGACTTGAAACTGGAGCACGTCATCAGATGCATGCAGCTCAACGTCAATGGCGTATGCTGTGAGCCCTATTTCTCTCAGGGCTGAGGTGAGTCTGCCACTCCCAGCGAAAACTTCTAAACAGCTGCCCTTGGGAGCTTGGCGCCACTCTTGCCACAAGGGGCTCAACGGCCACCGGCCTTACTACCGCTGACCTGGTCCGCATTTTTTGGGCAGACCTCCCCCCCCCCCCAGCAGGGCCGGGAGGGCGGGAAAACAGGCAGGGCCGTGCTTGGTGCAGGAACTGCTCCAGCGACAAATGGGCCAATGCAGCCTGCAGCACCGGTTTCTTTTTGAGTGGGCCGCAAGGCGGAATCCCGAGAGGAGTTTCTGCCAGGAATGTCTATGCCTTCGCTCCCATGCCCCCAGCCGAATTGGCACAGCACATGCATGCAGGGCGAGCCGTGGCTGAGGATGAGATCCGCAGGCGGGGAGCTTTGGCTCCGGGACCCGGGGCTTTGGCTCCCGTAGGTGATGCGCCACCGGCCGGCGGGGAGAACCATGATCAGGGCATCTGGGTTCCGGGAAAGAAAATCGGTGAGGAGGTGTCGGTCCCAATCGATGCCCCTTGGATGGGAGATAGGGCCCTAGTGCGGGTGACGGATTCGGAGGGCAACAGCTTGGTGGTCATGGAAGCGAAGATTGATCGATCAGGATTGGCTGAGTTCTGTGAAGGGCGAATCGCCCTTTGCCGGGGATCCGAGGCAATTGCTGGTGAAGACAAGCAAGCTGGTGATGATGTTCGCACCATGTCAGTGCGGTACTTGGCTAATGGTGAAAGGGGGCGGAACTTCAAGGATAGTGTCAAGGAGTTTGTGCAGGTGGAGTTCGATGATTGGCCCCTCTTGCCTCGAACATGTCAGGATTACCTTAGCGCGGTCAGTGAAGTAGCCGAGTCTTGCTATATGCAGCATCTGGCCTGGGTGCAACAAGCTCGGATACCAGAAGGTGACCGCGCCATCTACGAGGACGAGCTGCTTAGCCGGGTCATTGATATGGCTGTGAAATACGATTGCCTTAACATCGTGAATTTGGCCAGCTTCGAGATGATCATCCGAAGGAAGCAGCTGCTTGCTGAGGCCCATGTTGGGAATCCGGCCTCTCCATCATACGAGGCTGCCGACTACTTTATGGGCCGGCGGTATCGTCCCGGCGGCGGGATAGTAGTCCAGTCGCTCACCGAACACGTGGCAAAGCGCATGCACGAAGATGCCCAGATCCAGAAGGAGAAGCGCAAGCTTTCGGAGGCCAAGGGCAATGGAAAGAATAAAGGTAAGGTTCCAACATCGCCGCCAAACCCGGAGGGGGGAGGCGGGGGAAAGAAGTGAGCTCATCCTGCCGGGCGTCTTGGTTGCCGAGGAGCCAGGGCGCTTAGAAAGTTTTTTCATTCTCGGGTTTTTTCTTTCGGTTTAGCTGGGATGACGGTGCGGCAGCGCGATGTGCTGCCTTTGCCATTGCTTGTGGAAGAGGCCATCCCAAAGGAGAGCAGTTTGTCCCGGGCATGTTTGAGAAGAATTCATAGACGGGCGCATGTACAGAGGGAGGCGAACTTTGTTATCAAGTCCTTAAACGCGCTCCACACCAACGGCAAGCTCACGGATTCATCCTCAAGGGTATCTGATCTGGGGGTTTTGCCCGAAGTCCAGCGGCTGGCCATCACACACGTGTTGAAGAGGGTCAAGGAGTTCGGGCCACCACCGTTGCATGTTACTACTGCAGGAGCCTTAGAAGCGCTCCGCATCGCCTACAGTCCTTATGGGGGCGACTCAGTGGGTGTTGGCGACGTTGTTCCAATGAATCTTGATCAGTTGTCTAAGCCTCTCGGCTCAGGAAAGGTCAGGCTAGTACAGTTGCCTTTTTCCTTTCTTGCCATGGCATTTGTCAGCGCCTGAGCAGTCCCGGTCCCAAGTCCGGGAGGGAGTATTAGATCTACAGCTCTCTAACATCTCCCAGAGGTGAGGGTTGTCGGTATTGCGAAGCCGACAGGAGCCGTACTCAACATGAGTGCTGCGAAACAGCCTAGTGGTTCGACCAAGCATCAGCCCGTTCCTAAAGGGAAGGGTAAACGCTCTTATCAAAGGGCAGCACGTAAAGCTCTGCTTGAAGGTAGTGCGGTCTACAAGGGAAGGACGATGTCGTCAACAGAGCTTGGAGTTGCTCCGGCACATGTAAAGTCCACCAATCCCGGCAGAAGGACTCGGCCTTCAAAATTTACGGAAGATAAGAATATCGGCTATCTATCCTGGAACGCAGGATCTCTCACAACAGCAGTTTGGGAAGAGTTACTCTCCGTACTGCAAAGTGCAGCATTTCAGGAAGTGAAGCTGGTAGCAATTCAGGAAACACACTGGAGGGGCTCATGGCAATTCAGCAAGTCAGGTTGGCACGTGATCAGCTCTGGTTCCACAGGGGAGAAGGGAGCCGGGGTCCTTATAATGGTGCACTCCACGCTGTGCAAGTCACAGGATCTTCGCTACAACGAGGTTGTTCCAGGAAGAGTTCTCCAGGTCCGGGTGCCGAGCAACGGCATCTCACTGGATGTCTTTAGCTGCTACCAATACGTTTGGCGCTCAAAGGAGACTGTCGCTCAGAATAAGGAAACCCGGAAGCAGACCCTTCATGCCCTAAGTAAGTCCATTCGAGCTGTTCCCAATCGCAACACTCTCCTTGTGCTAGGAGATTTTAACTCCTCGCTCAAGACCGACAACAAACACGTAGGGCCATGCACGATCCAGGCTTGCAGACTAGGGCATCGCGGATCTAAGGATCTCCAGACATTACTGTCGGAGCACCAGCTAGTCGCAACCAACACTTGGGGAGTGCATAGACCAGCCACCCACGAACAAGGCAACTCAATTTCACAGATTGACTTCTCGTTTGTCAGGATTGCACAGTCCCAAGGCCCTGCCAAGTTTTGCCGGCCGCTAAGGACCTTTCCAGTGGCATCCTGGAGGGATGGCAGTAGGCATTTCCCCCTTCTCGGTAAACTGAGGCACAGCAGGAGATACTCCGCCCAAGCCTCAAAACCCTATGACCAGCAGGCAATGGAGGACTGCTACAGACATCGTTCCCCGAAAATACAGGCATTTGCCAGGGAGGTAGACTCCCTCCTTCAGGATCATCCCCAAACCTGGCAGAGTCTCCATCAAGCAATGAACTCAGCCCTCACGACTCACTTTCCCAAGAGAAAGGGAGCAGCGCAAAGAACAGATCTCAGCATTTGGGCAGAGCGCACAGTGTTGCGCTCACTCCCAATGTCAGTCAAGGTCTTAGCAGAGTTCTTGCCGGAGTTGCAGGTCCGAATGGTATTTCGCTGCTGGCTGTCGCTGTCTCAGCAAAGTGCACAGGCGAAGGTAGCAAAGCGTCAGAAGCAGGAAAGGCGGAGACAGGAAATAGATGAACAACTCGAGCAGGCAGAGCTTAAATCCAAGCAAGACGGGAGTCATTCTCTCTACAAGGTGATCAAGCGCTTCCGGTCGGGGAGGCCTCAGGAAAGAGTTCAGCTACGTGACTCAGAGGGTCGCTTCCTAACAGCCAAGGAAGAACGTAGACAATTAGAGGAATACTCCACTGAGCTGTTTGGAGCAGGGGACGACTTCCCGCTCACAGGGATACAAGGCAGCCTGCACATCACTGAGCAAGAAGTTCAACAACAGCTAGGCACGATAAAGCTTGGCAAAGCAGTTCCTAAAGAAAGTCCTCCCATAGTAGCTTGGCGCTCCCTAGGCCCCAACGCTATTCGGCTTATTTCGGACACTCTCAATAAGGAGGTCACTGCAGGAAGGCTTTCGGACAGCGTCACCTCGTCACAGATCTCTTGGCTTCCAAAGCCTCCCAAGAAGCCAGATAAGCCAACATCACTCCGTCCGATCGGGGTGATAGCACCTGAGGGCAAGGTCCTGGCAGGACTTGTGAGGCAGAGACTCAAGTCCACCCTCCATCAAGCAATGCAAGGAGTCTCTCAGTTTGGCTTCGTACCAGGTAGGGGCACAGAGGAGGCGATTTGTAAGGCACTCACACATGTGGATCAGGCCAGGTTCAGGCAGGCCCTTACAACTAGAGCAGCTGGTAAGGGACAACAGGGGCTTAAGCTCAGGGGCAGTCTCACGATGAGCGTTGACATGAGCAAAGCTTTTGACACTGTGGACAGGCTACGATTAAGAGAAGCCCTGGAAGCTGAACAAGCAGACCCTCTTCTTATAGAGGTGGTGGGCCATCTCCACATCAAAGCCTTGTACAAGATGACAGCCAGCGATCAGAGCTTTGAGATAGCCACACGCAGGGGAATCAAGCAGGGATGCAAGCTTGCACCTTCCCTATTCGCCTTTGCATCCGGGCTTCTCTTTAGGAAGCTCTCTGGAAAAATCAGCCCCCCCGAACTAGTTAAACTACTCACCATGTATGCGGATGACAGCTTGATTCAGTCGCATTTCGAGTCTGAGTCTGGCCTCATTACAGCACTAGGATACTGCGACCTCCTTCTGGATCAATTGGTTGAACTTGGGTTCAAGGTCAATCCGTCCAAGTCAGCAATACTACTGCAGCTACAAGGCGGTTCAGCCTCGACAATTAGGAAAAAGCTATTTCGCCAGGTAGATGGAGAGAAGTTTGTCGAACTCCCTTCGGGCAGGTTGATATCGCTGCGGTACCAGGTCCCATACCTGGGGGTCATTCTTTCTTATCATGACTATGAAATGAAGACCCTTAAACATCGGCTGTCATCTAGTAAGCTAGCAATGTCAGAGGTCGCCCATGCAGTTAGGAACCATCGAGTCCTATCAGACAGACGTCGTCTGTCAATTTGGACAATAACTGCGTGGGCCTCTGCTCTGTATGCCCTTCACGTAGTAGGACTGACACAGCAGGGACTGCAGAAGCTCCACTCACACATGATGTATCAACTTCGGTTTGTCCTGCGGAGCTACTCCCAGGAAACGAAGGAATCCAACCAGGAGTTACTCCGGAGAATACGGATCCCTCACGTGAAGGAGCAGCTGCAAAAGAGGCTTACACAGTTCATTAAGAGACAGCAACACTCAGATCCTCAGCTCCTCCCACACTACAAGCTGCGCGCTGAGGCAATCAGCCAAGCTCTGGAAGGACTTGCCATTGACTTTTCCTCTCAATCAGTAGAGGATAAGATCCTGACCTGCGGCGAGTGTGGAGCGTGTCTCTCCGGTACCGGGGCCCTCCGTCGCCACCTGAAGAAGGCCCACCCAGACTCGCAGCAAAGCCTGAAAGGACCCAGATTTGATCCTATTTTGCACTCAATGCCAGGGTCAGCAACCTGCATCGCCTGTAGAGCAACATTCCGAACAGTGTTCTCTCTGCGCAAGCACGTCGAAGCTTCTACATGCCCTCGGGTAGAGCTCTTGCTTCGACAACAGGAAGAGCTCCCTCTAGAAGCCCAGAACCGGATTTCACTTACAGCAAGTCTACAGTCTGATGCCCAGGAAAATCCGGAAGGAGCAGCTCGAAACCCGGTGTACCACGATTACCTGATGGAGCACTGTGCACTCTGCGGTCAGGTGCTTGTTGGTCAGAAAGGTGCCAAACAGCACTTAAACAAGCAGCATGCTGAAGTGATGGCCAAGCTTGAGAAAACTCTCCAACCAAGACTTGCTCAGTTCAAGGTCTTCTTTCACAAAGGAGATAGCTGTCGCTATTGCAAACTCCGTGTGGATGCCCCGGGTAGACATGCTCAGCAGTGCGTTCCACTACTGCAGGTGCACGTACTGCAGGAGGTAGCGCGTCAGCAGCTCAGTAAGCAGCCCCGAGAATATACTCGAGCAAGGCCCACGTCCTCGGCGAAGACAGCCACAAAGAAGCCCACAGAATCAATGCCAGGTATTCCCCTTCCTGAATTTAGACTGGAAGGCTTTCTCCTGCTAGCCAACACTCGCAACCACTGCTATGCCAACTCAGGTCTACAGTGTCTGCACTGGCTATCTGATCCCACAGAGGCGCCTTTTCACGAGGCATCTCGGATCAGTCTACTCGCGAGAATCACCCCTGAACACAGAGTCTTCTCGGAGCTCACCACGGGCTGGCTCTTTGACGGAGGACAGCATGATTCTGCAGAGTTCCTGCAGCAAGTGTTTCGGAACCTCTCTGCATCACAATTTGGACAGTGGGAAACTCGAGCATCAGTTCCAGAGGGTGTGATAGTCGATGAAGAAGGGGGTTCTCCCATTCATCTCGCCACGGCGATCAAGCCCAACCTGCAGGACATGCTAGTGGCATGGTCGTCTCAGGAGCGCTCATGTGCTCTCATAGAAGCTGCACAACAGGTGTGCTTAGCCTTACCGAGATTTGCAGGTGAAGCAAA